CCCCCGCCGCCGCTGCTGCCGCTGCCGCTGCTGCTGTGTCACCGCTGCAGCGGCGGCCGATGCTGTGGCGGCGGCTGCTGCGCAGCGGCGACTGCTGTTTTCGAGAGAGCGAGGCATTTGACCGAGCCATCTTCGGCTGGGCCCAGCTCTCGCATGCTCCTGAAGTCGTGCATCCGCCAGTGCGGCCAAGCCAAGCGCTCTGCACCTCTCCCATGCACTCCCTCCCCCCACCCCTCACTTGGCACACCAACAGGCACCGCCCAGGCTGCTGAGCTGGTCGCGGCCCTTCTCGGCTCCCCCGCGCGCCTGCCGCCCGGCGGCGCGTCGCTCGCCGTCGGCGCGGGCGGCGACGCGGCCACCATCGTCGCGCTGAGGGCCGCGGTGGAGGAGCTGCTGCCGGCGATCGAGGAGCGCACGGCCGAGCGCGCGGCCGCGGCTGCCGAGGCGCGCCCGGCCAAGGGCCCCGCCCCGTTCCCCTTCCCGGCCATTGGCAAGGTGCGGTGCGCTGCGAGGTGCAAGGGCTTGAATGCCACCAAAGACGAAAGCCTTGCTGCGCTGCGACAAGCCCTGTTGTACAACGCAGCTTGTACCCGCAATTGCTCGCTCCCACAAGCCCACAACGCCCGCGGTTCCTAAGCCGCACACGCCGCGCGCATCCCTTCCGACTTTAAACAGCGTCCGCGCCGCCGCGACCGCCGCCCCGCTTGTCGTTCCGCAGGCCAAGGCTCAGGAGCCCGAGGAGGAAGAGGAGGAGGAGGCGCCGCGCCCAACATCGCCGTTTGGCTCCCTCTTCACCCGCAAGACCCCACCGCCAGTCGAGGAGGAGGAGGAAGAGGAGGAGGAGCCCGCCAAGCCCGCCTCCCCCTTCGGCTCCCTGTTCGTCCGCCGCGCGCCCGCCGCCGCGCCCGCACCCGCCAAGCCCGCCGCCAAGGAAGAGGCGCCGCGGCCGTCGTCGCCGTTTGGCTCCCTGTTCGTGCGCCGCGCCGCGGCCGCAGAAATTGAGGAGGAGGAGGAGGTGGCGCCCCGCAAGAAGGCTGGCGGCCTCTTCTCCCTCCCATCGCTCGGGAAGGTGCGCCCCATGCGCCGCACCGGCAGCCCCTGGAGTGTGCCCGCTCGACCGCCGCCTGTTGCACTCGAGCGCGTCTGCGCCGGTCTGACCAGAGACCGGTCGTGGGGCGGTCCTACGTCTGCTGTTCCGCGCCGCCGCGGCCCCTATCCTGCGTTTCGGCAATGTGCGACGCGTCGCCACTCACACAATCTCGTGTCACCCGCAGCCAGTGCAGGCCGAAGAGGAGGAGGAAGAGGAGGAGGAGGAGGAGGAGCGCCCTGCCGGTCTGTTCGGCTTCGGGACCCGCAGCATCAAGGTGTGCCGCCCACACCTCTTTACTGTCTGGGCGCACGGTCTGGGTGCTTGGCGCCCAGCTCGGGAACAACATGCCCACCCCAGGCTGCCACGCTTATCCTCCGCACCTGCCGCGCACCCTTTGCTGCCGTCCAGGCCAAGGCCTCAGCGGATGCCACCTCCGAGCGCCAGACCGCGGCAGCCAAGGCGCGCCAAGACAGGGAGAGGGCCGCGGCCGAAGCCAAGGAGAGGGCCGAGGCGCTGCGCCGCGAGCGCGCAGAGGCCGCGGCCGCCAAGGCAGAGGAGCTGCGGAAGCAGAGAGAGGCGGCCGCGCAGGCCGCGCAGCGGCGCGCCGAGGAGCAGCGCCAGGCGCGCGAGCAGGCGGCCGCGCAGGCGCGCGCGAAGCAGGAGGCGGCGCAGCGCGAGCGCGAGCAGCTCGCCGCGCGCGCAGCGGCGGAGAGGGAGCGGGCCGCGGCGCAGCAGCGCGCAAGGGCGGAGTCCGAGGCGCGCGCGCGCGCGGAGAGGGAGCGCGCGGCCGCGCAGCAGCGCGCGAGGGAGGAGGCGGCGGCGCAGGCCAGGGCCAAGCAGGAGGAGGCGGCCAGAGCGCGCCAGCAGGCCGCGCAGGCGGCTGCCGAGCGTGCGGAGCAGCAGCGCCGCGCGCGCGAGGAGGCGCTGGCTGCGGCTAAGGCCAAGCAAGAGGAGGTCGCGCGCGCCCGCCAGCAGGCGGCACAGGCGGCCGCGGAGCGCGCCGAGGAGCAGCGCCGCGCGAGGGAGCAGGCGGCCGCCGCGGCAAAGGCGAAGCAAGAGGAGGCGAACCGCGCGCGCCAGCAGGCGGCGCAGGCCGCCGCAGAGCGCGCCGAGGAGCAGCGCCGCGCCCGCGAGGAGGCCGCTGCCGCAGCGAGGGCCAAGCAAGAGGAGGCGAACCGCGCCCGCCAGCAGGCGGCGCAGGCCGCCGCCGAGCGTGCTGAGCAGCAGCGCCGCGCGCGCGAGGAAGCCGCGCGCGCCCAGAAGGAGGCTGCCGAGGCCGCTCGCGCCAAGGCGGCTGAGGCGCAGCGGGCCGCCAAGGAGAAGGCCGAGGCTCTCGCGCAGCAGCGCGCGGAGGCGGCGGCGGCGGCAAAGGCGAAGGCCGAGGAGCTGAAGAAGCAGAGGGAGGCGGCCGCCGCGGCGGCGCGCGCAAAGGCAGAGGAGGCGCAGCGCGCGCGCGCGGAGGCGGCGGCGGCGGCGCGCGCGCAGGCAGAGGAGGCGAAGAGGGCCGCGGCCGAGAAGGCCGCGGCGGCGGCGCGCGCGCGGGCGGAGGCGGCCGCGAGGGCCGAGGCCGAGCGCGCCAAGGCGGCTGAGGCGAAGGCGAAGGCGGAGGCCGCGGCCAAGGCTAAGGCCGACGCGGCCGCCGCGGCCAAGGCCAAGGCGGACGCGATCGCGAAGCAGCGGGAGGAGGCGGCGCGCGCCGCGGCGGAGCGCGCCGCCGCGCTGCGCAAGCAGCGGGAGGAGGCGGCGGCGCGCGCGCAGGCCGAGCGCCAAAAGTGGGTTGCTTCTCGTCGGCTTGCTGGCCAGCAGGCCGCGCGGGTTTGAGTTGCTTGCCATATCAGCGGAATGATCTTGCAGGGCAGGGCGCTCATTCGTGGCTGCCACTTCGGACCTGTTGGCAAGTGCGGCTGCTCAGGGCTCGCAACCTCGCCATGCCAATAACCCCCTTGACACAACCGCCGCGCCATGCCCTCATCCACCCCAGGGCTCTCGAGGCTCAGAAAGCTAAGGCCGAGGCCGCCGCCAAGGCGCGCGCCGACGCCTTGGCCAAGCAGGTGCGTCCCTCGTGTGCTCGCAGCCGCGCTACTGCGGCTGGGGGGTTTTCGCCCAGCTCCGCGACCCGGCAGGGACCGCCGGCCGTGGCCTCCACACCTCCTGCCTGTGCGCTGACTCTTTCATTTGCCCCACCGCCGTCTGTGATGCAAATCAAAACAACCATTGCAGAAGGCGGAGGCTGAGCGCAAGGAGAAGGAGCGGCAGGCGGCCCTGGCCAAGCAGAAGGCAGAGGTGCGGGCCCTGCAGTGACTGGGCAGCTTTCATTCGAAACGTTGACACCATGAAAGTCGCACCTGCAGGGCATCGCGGCCCTCTTTTGAAAATCAGCCCCGTGCACATCTAGGATGGGGCTGCGTGAGCAAGAGCCTGCCATTACTCACTCCAGCCCACCGCGCACCCCCTTCGCCGCACGTCTCCCGTTCGCTCTTGCAATTTTGACGCACGCGTGCGCACCAACCCCTCAACAAACACAGCTGGCGCGCACCCAGAAGATCTCCGCCGGCAGCCAGAGGGTCACCCCTGGCACCCAGAAGGCGGCGGTCGGCACCCAGAGGGGCACCCAGAAGGTGACGGCCGGCAGCCAGAAGGTCACCGCCAAGACGCCGTCAGGCACGGGCACCGCTCGTCCGGGGACCCAGAAGGTGCGGTCGGCTGCGGACGTGGGCGTGCGCACGTGCTCAGCTACTGTAGATGCTTTCCACAGCGCACCTGCAAACAGCACGCCGCGCGGCGTGCCGCGACCCCATGCCGCGCCCCTGCTCTGCGCACACATGCTCACGTGCGCATTCGAGTGTGCTACGGCGCCTTCTTCGCAACTCATCAAGGTGCACATATGAATCCCTCCGAACCACCGTACAGGTCAGCACGCAGAAGGCTGGCACCCAGAGGTCTACCCCCGCCCAGAAGGCCCCCGCCCCCAAGTCGGACGACGGCCGCGGCTTCATCACGTTCGGCACGCGCCGGCGGTGAAGCGCCCGCGGCCACGGCGTTGAGCGCCGCCTTGGTCACGCCGCGGCGCGCCGCGCGCACGCGACGCGACGGGGCATTGCTGCGGGCCGGGGGCTCTGGGGCAGATATGGGAGGGAGGGACGAAACGCTGCTGCCGGGGCTTGAGGGCGCGCAGGCGCGCCTAGGCTGGCCAGGTGCCACGCTGCCGGGCGGGGAGCGCAGCTGGGGAGGGTTTTGAGCACTGATGGGCGGGGCGCGCCGACGGCGCCTGTGGCGGGCAGTCGCTCGCGCGGCGTGCTGCCTGCCCGGGCGCGTCGGCGCAGTTTTGGCCCCCGCACTTTGTTGATGGCGGGTGCGAGTGCCGCAGCTGCGATGGGAGCTGAGCTGCCCGGCCCAGCGGGCGAGGGCACTGATTCTGTACCGCCGTGTACCGCCTAAATTACTGTGAGACGTGTGAATGTGAGACCCTTGACGACGAGAGAACTTTTCCCGCTGGGCCGCCGGCCTTCGACAGGAGCGCGTGGCTGGCTGCGGTTATCTGAGACACCAATCCGGATGAACAACATTGTAACGAGCGCTTTCGGCTGAGCAGCTGCACATGCACACATGCGGGGCTCGGGTGGCCTTGAGTCGTGCTTGGTGTCTGACAGGTTTGGGCCCAGCCAGCACCACCCACGTCAAGGAAGCTTGATGGCCTGTGAGAGCTGGCGCAGCAGGCGCACAGCGGCGTCGCTGACGCTGGCGCCAGGGTCTCTTTGCGGCCAAGGCGCGCAGCTGTGGGTGGATCGCAGGCAGGCAGCGCTTGATAACGACACTTTCAGTCCGCCAGCAGCATTGGAGGGTACAGATGTGCTGAATCCACTGCAGCCGCCCGTGGTGGGATGAGAGCTGAGGCGCCCGCACCCACTGACAAAGGCGTCACCCCATCCAAGCCACTGGAGTGGCTGGGCTCAAGGCGAGCAGCACGGGCAGAGGGGCATGGCCGGTCGACACACTGCATCGCTCGTGACTGGTGCGTTTCAAAATCATCTTACTACTCGCCGGGCAAGTCTTCCACTCACTTCCCCTGCTGATGCAGAGCGCGGGCCTGCGACGCCCAGTGCAATGCAGACGCAGCAAGTCGACCACTGCAGCCGCTGTCACTGGCGCCCGCGCTGGGACAACGCAGACCCGCCAAGCGCCACCACCTAGCAGCCCCCGTTCACTGAGGTCCTGCTGTTCGACCATCTCTCTGCCTGCCAGTCCCACATTGACATTGGCACCGTTGTAGGGTTGACTGTCAGCTGTGTGAGTGTTGACCGCGCACCCCGCGCCAGCACGCCAGGTAACCTCACGGTCAACTGTTGCAATCATGGGAGGTGCTGTTGCTTTTCGATGGGCAAGCAGCTCCGTGGCAGTCTTTTGAATTCGGCGGTTCGTGGTTCCCCGCCACACAACAAAGCCGAGTCCCGACGCTGCAACGACACAAGAGTGCCTTACATGCGTTCGAACCCATGAAACCTGTGCATAATAACTGAGGTGAAACGCTCAGCCCCCCTCAACGCGTCCCGTAGTAGAACTCTGTCAGACTGATCGCCTGGCAAGCCGGTGCCTGATGCACCCGGGGCGTCTCCGAAGCGCACAGGGTCCACAAAAGCAGACGGTCCCGCAACGTTTGGCACGTGCGCCGCTGCGCACCCAGGGGGTGTCATGGGCACCCGCTGGTGTGGCGGCAGCGGGCGGACGTGCAGCCCAAGCAGCATCCAACCTTTTGGCACAACGCCAGCCCAGCATCGTCGCGCCGCAGCATGGTTGTGATCCACCGTGCCAGATTCAGCAAGAGCAGAAGCGGACGCACAAAAGGCCCATTGCGGTCGCAGGGCCCGATCATCCGGCAGCCCCTGGCCAATCAGCAGCCCGCCGCGCCCGCGTAGCCTGCGCCGCCTCTGCAGCCTCCTTCCCCGCCGGCGGCGCCGGCCCCGCGGCCGCGTCGCTGCTGCGCCAGTGCCAGCTCGCCGCCGCCGCCGCTGCGAGGGCCTGCGCGCCCGCCCTGGCGTTTTTGGACCAGCATTTCCTGCCCCTGTGCCTCACCTCTGGCGTCGCCGCTGGCTGTGCGTTCCCCGCGGCCGGCGTGGAGGCTGCAAAGCTCAACCTCTCCACGGCGGTTACGTTCTGCATGTTTGTCATCGCGGGGGTGCAGCTCCGCCAGGAGGAGGCGTTCAAGGCCCTCCAAGCCAAGGGTGAGATGGGAGGCAGGCGGCGCAGTGGAGCATCCGCAGCGGCGCGCCGCGCTCGACAGCGATACGGGGTGGCCTCTCACAGATGTAGCCACGGGTGCGTCAGCTCTGTCGCAGGCTACCAGCAGGGCATAGACGAGCTGCAACTCTTTAGGGCTGCGAAAAACACAGAAAGGCACACGCCGCGGCCCCGGCCCCTCCTGTGGTGGTGACGGCGCGCACGGCGCCCCCCTGCCGCTGCTCACCCCCTCATGCCCCCGCCCCTCGCGCCCCCCGCAGGTGCCCTTCTGTACGGCCTGGTGTCTATCCTCTTCATAACCCCCCTCATCTCATTGGCGGTCCTGCAGCTGCCCCTGCAGCCGCGGGAGCTTGTCCTCGGCCTGGCCATCTTCTGCTGCATGCCCACCGCGCTGTCCGCCGGCATCACGTTCACCCAGGCCGCCGGCGGCAACGTGGCGGTGGCGCTGCTGCTGACCGTGACGAGCAACATGCTGGGCGTGTTCACGATGCCGTTCGTGCTGCCCGCCATGCTGGGCGGCAGCCTGGGGGGCGCGCGGCTGGAGCCGGGGCCGCTGCTGGTGCGGCTGATCTACAGCGTGCTCATCCCCACCATCATAGGCGCGGCGATCCGCAGCAGCGTGCCTGGTGAGAACGGGGCGCTCGCGGGTTGAGCGCAGGGGGCGCGCTTGGCTGCGGGGAGCCGTAAAGGACTCCGAGGGGAAGTGGGGGCACGCTGGTCTGTAAGCAACCCGGTTCTCGTCGAAGCGGACACGTGCCTCTGTGCCAGCCCAGCAGTCAGCTTGCCATCGCATCGCAACACACACGCACGCACGTGCACACACACACACACACGCGCGCGCGCACGCGCGCACACACACTGGCCCAACGCCGCGCGCACCTGAACCCCCCCCCCCCTACGCGGAATCGACCCCCCGCAGGCGCGGCCGCCCTGGCCGACTCCAAAAAACGGGAGCTGGCGCGCGTCAGCGCGCTGCTGCTGGGCCTCGTGCCCTGGACCCAGGTCAGCAAGACAGTGGCTGCCGGCGTCGTCCTCGCGCCCGGCCCGCTGGCCGTCATGCTGGTGGCGGGGGTCGCTGTGCACCTGTCCTACCTGGCGCTCAACACCGCAGCGTGCAGGCGCGTTGTTGCGCGCGCGTGCGGGGCCAGCGTCGGCCCGGGTGCCTCGCTGGTCATGCCTCGCGTGGCCTTGGCGTGGTTTTGGCGGCCGAGCTTGCTTGCTGCTGGTCTCAGCAACAGCGGTCCGTGCCAATCCGGCACCTCACTGCGCTTGACCAGGCTTGCATACCGCCAGCATTCCTCCATCCGGCATGCCCCAGCGCACGCCCGCCGCTCACACCCACCTTAACAAACACATGACCCATTGGACCCTCCTTGGCGCAGGGCCCTCCGCCTGGGAGAAGTCGCAGGGCCAAAGGGCGCGCGCGACATCCGCCGCGCCGTCATCCTGACGGCGAGCGTCAAGACGCTGCCCGTGGCCGTCGCGGTGTTTGCGTCGCTCGCGCCCGTCCTCGGCGGCATGCTCGGCGTGGCGCTGGTGCCCGCGCTGATGGCGCACCTGTCGCAGATCCTGATAGACAGCGCCATAGTGGCCCGCTGGCAGGCACAGGCACGCGCAGAGGCCGCGGCGGCGGCGGCCGCCGCCGAGGCGGCGGCGGCCGCGGAGGCAGAGGCGGCGGTCGTTGCTGGGGCCGCGGAGCAGCGACGGTTGCAGGTGGAGCGTGACGAGGTGGCGGTGGTCATGGCAGCAGCGGCGGACGCATCCGGCGGGCGGCGGCGGCGGCGGCATCAGCCGGCGGGGGGCGACCCTCAGGGACAGGAGAGTCAAAGTGACGCGGTGCTGGCGCCCGCGGCGGCTGGCGCTGTGCAGTAGCATGGCTGCTGGCGGCAGGCGGGGCGGCCTCCTGCCACCCGCCTTTGTGCTGCGGCTACTCAGAAGAATTCGACAGGGTCGTCAGGTGGCGGCCAATGGGAGCCAGCTGCAGTTTTGTGGCCCGCCGGTCGGGTGCAGTTGTTCCTCAACCCTTATTGTCAGTTGCTCAGGGGTGCACGGGTTTGCCGCACCCACCCCAGCTGGCGGCGTGGTCCGCCTGCTGTCATTGTTGGTGCCTGTACTGTTTCTTGGACACCGGAGAGGGGAGGCGTCTCGCGCACTGCCTGTGCCAACAGGGCGTAGGACCGGTTTTGTCTCGGGCCACACTCAACACGTTGTCTCACCGGCATGCGGCAGGGGCCAGAGTTGGCTCGTCCCTGCTGGGTCAGGGCAACTCCGAAACCTTTTCAACACACCAGAAGAGTTCAAGTGTCGCCCTGCACAGCACAGCGCCCACATGTGTGCGCGCGTGTTGCCTGTCAGCGCAGCGGTTTGCACCGAGCGCTTCGAGCGGCTTTGTGTGCGAGGTGATTTCTGATGGTTTCCTGAAGCCGCGAGGCCTGCACGTGCGGCGCACGGCGCTCGCGCCCTCGGATGTGTTTTGGGCCCCCCAGTCCAACCGTCTTTGCTGTATAATATACCAGGGCTGCCCATCAGCACCCACAACCCCAGCCACCCCTGCGGCCCGGATGGAGGGTCGTCCCGTTTCACAGAGCGCAACAGCCACGTTTTGTTGTGTGCATCGTTGGAGGGGGACTTGTTGGAGGGGTGGAGCGGTCTGGCATCAAAGTGATGCCCTAAGTACAAGAGAAGACAGGTTGCACTGATCAGTGTTTGCAACGTTTTACCTAGGCAACACCCAGTTGATGCGGCACTGCAGAGTAGCAAGGACTGCAGATCTCATGAGAGTGTTGTGTAACCAGCAGAAACCGGCTGCAGCTGTCGGGCACGTGGACCATGTCACCGAAAACTGCATCACCATGGTATGTTTACACATACTGACTATACCCCATAACCCTGCGTATCGAAAAAAGCCGCACTCAAGTGCGAGTTTCTGTGCACCTAGGTAGTGCTGCAGATCATGCCTTTGGATGATGATCAAAATCCCGCACCCCGGAGCCTTGCAGATACATGTGTATCGGGCATGCAGGTGCACACACCCACCTGCCAGCGCAAAGTATTGGTAAAGCGGACTGCACAGAAAACTGGCGTACCCAAGGCATACTCCTCTCCTGCAAGCGGGCTCGCAGCGACCTCAGACCCTTCAGACCCTTCAACCCTACACCCCTCCTTCCAGCGAGTGGGTTGCTAGGTGCCTTGTCCCCGACACGCATGGCCCCGCAGCCCTCACTGCGCCGTCATCCTCAAACCCCGTTGACGGCCGTTGCCATGAACAGCCCATACT